CAATAAAGAGTTTTGCTGTATGTAAAAGTCATATGTATTGAAATTAACTCAGTGCCTGCTAACTCTGCAGCTAACTGCGTGAGTCTGAAGTATACGGAAGTTACATTACTCATATATATTACAGAATTTATGTTTCTATGTATAGCATGTACTATACTGCACCGTTTTACATTGAGAAATTACTGAAATTACAAAAGTAGCATCTCAAAACTTAGGAAATGCCATAAGTAAGTTAACCCATGTGACTAATTCAGCTTCTCTGTGCATATGCATCAAAAATGGGTTCCAGTGACACGATCACATATGATTTTTCTGTGAAGGCCTTTCTCTTTCCATTCACTGAATGAACAGTACCTGACTGAGATTCCTCTAGACGCTTATTTTACCTCACTCCTCTACACATGGCCCCATCCCTTATTTCCCAAACAATATTCACACCTCATTCTGAAGACTAAGTACTAATTTCCTTAGGAGGTTTTGGTTTTGGGGTTTTTTTTAATATATCTTAATAAAGCAATGTCTGAAAATTCTATTTATTTTGAGGAGTTTATATCCGCAACATTCCAGCAAAATGAGCTGGGTTTATTACTCCCCTTTTACAGCTAATACATTACAATTGTCCTCTAATTTGTGGTGGTCTCCTTAAATAAAGGAATTCCTGATTATTTTTTTCCAGAGAACTTTGCATTTTGTAGCATTTTCTCTATTCAAAGCAGAAAGTCCATAACCTCCAGCAAAAACTGTGAATGCCCGGCACTTTTTTCAGAAAAAAACATAGGTTTAAACTCAAGCCTACACAAAATGGAGAGCACAGCCTTCATACAAATTATTTATTTTGTGTGGCTTATACTGCACAGAAGAACTTGGGTAGAGGCAGGGACAGAGTTGAGTTCACTGAGCATCACTGCCAGCTGAGGGAGACCATTACTTGACGGTCATGCTGCCTTTCTCACTGTGCAGAGTACAACTGATGTGGCAAAATAAGTAAGAATTATACAGACAACACCTGCCCTTCAGCTGGCGAGGAGACTGCTGTATACCCTGTACACTGAATCAGGCAGGGAAGTGGTGGGAAAAGTTATGTGACTGTGTATCATGATGTGCCTTGATATACTGAGCAACTTTAAGTCTGAAATTTCCTATCTTTTTTTTTTACTGAATGATGAATCTTAGCATTCTTTAATATAGGTTGTTTTTTTTTTTTTGTCATGTGCAATTACCTAAATAGATTTCCTCTTCCCTCCCCAGGAACAAAACAGATAATAGAACATACAGAGCCATACCGACCCCCACAGCGCTGCCTCACGGAGCCTGTGTTATGGCATCTCCTTCAGCCCTGAAATCTACAGTTCAACAACAGTTAAACTTTTCAACTGCCATATTCAGGCCTTTGACCATCGAGCAAAGAAAGGAATTTCTAATGAGAGAAACAAAACGTTGCCGTCCTCGCCACCAGAAGTAGTTAAGTTGCCCGTGTTGCGCCTGCTTATTACGGCTATTTCGTAACAGCAGAGGGACAGGGACGCTTTGGAAGCCCAAGGTATAATCAGACACTGGAAGAACAGGCTTTTGTAGTCACAGGGCTTTCCGTCCTCGCCCTTTTCTGGTCTTTGTCCCCATGCATCCCTCCCCAACCATCTCCAACCCCCACCTTGCTGTACCTGCCAGGCCCAGCTTCAAACTTGCATTGCAGGCTGCTGCTTCTCTCCTCCCGTGGCCAGGCTCAACGAGCAGCCAGGCCAGGACCTACCAACAGCTTCGTTATTCAGCATCTGGTCTGGGAGGTTCAGCGCCTTCTGGATGAAGGGAAAAACAATTACAGAGAAAGTCTCACTTAGCCACTGCTGACCAAGGTTAGAAGCGAGATTGTTGGGAGTAAAGGGGAGCTACGGAAAATTTATCTTTCAAACTTGCGCACGGTAGGGCCTGGACAAACCTTAGTTTAACTTGGAAACATTTGGAAAAATTTTCACAGGCAGTGCAGCAGGCATATCTAAGGATGCAAAAGGTAACCAGTCTGCCAAATTTCAAGTCCTTGTTCCAAAGTATGAAAGAACTAAAGCTTGCCAGACAAACTGTTTAGAGAATTTAAGAGGAGAAAAAACTTTTTTATTTTTATGATCTCCTTCTGAGAAATAGCTGAACAACTTTCATTTAAGTTTCCCAGAAGAATTCAGGCTGGAGCAAGTAACCAGCAAGGAAGATGTTAGCTGGAATAGTGAAGGTCTGGCAAGATAATAAGATACTGCAAACAGGGTCTTGTAATTCACCAAAAATAATGCGAAATGTGCCTCACCAAATAATGTGAAATTTTCAGTTTAAGAAGTTGATTAACGTTTTCTAAAACCATATCAATTTTATACACAACATATTCTTTCATTTTGAATTTTTTTCCAGATTTTGTTTGTGCTTGTCTTTAATGTTTCATGACCACATGATCTTCCTAGTGATCTAAGCTGGGTCTTCCAACAGTTCTAAATCAAGTGTATCATGCCATTGGACCCTGTAACTGGTAGACAGTATCTAGAAAACATGCAGAAGTCATAAATAGAAGCACTCGTCTTCTCTGCAAGTATCAGACGACAAAAGGGCTCGGAAACAAACTGCTCTAATCATTTTAGCGGGTTGTTAATTTCTAAATATAAACCCTACAATCTGAATAGAAACATTATTGACACTCAGCTTGCTGGTGATTCTAAGTAGATATATTCCCCTGATAGGTTCGTTCCAGTTTTTATTGTATTCAGAGAATACTTTAAGATAAACCAATACCTTAGTGGATCTTCTTGCAGCTTTAAATTCAAACTCTCTAACCCCCAACAAGTGTATCAGACACTTAGTACTTGTCAATGCAAAAACTGTGATGCATCAAGGACAAATTACAGGAATGGAATAAAACAAAGGCATTTAATATTATGCTATAGAGCTAATTTGCTTTCCTCCACATTTATTTATTTAAAAGGATTCTGTTAGAATTCCTTGGATGCTTCCACAGTCCCACACAATACACATTCATTTTACTGCCGAGTACACTCAGATCACAGAACGCACCATCCAGCAGTCCGTCAGTCATGAGTGGTCAATGTCATACTTGTTCCAAATAAAATTAAAACTGTAGTTCTCACATAGTGCAGTAAGCATTAATGGAATTCAGGCTCCCTACATCTGTTTAACTCCAACTTTATAATGAGTGAGGAAAAAAGGAGGATGCTAACAGGGATGCAGGTTTGAACCTTCCTGAACTCTGCAACAGTTCAGATCCAGTTGAGCTTTTTTGGTACATAAAGTTTAACCAATTAGCACCCCCACCTTTCCCCTGCCCCAAAAATTCACAAATGAGAAAGCAAGGTGAAGGCCATGACAGTTTATTTGGGAAAACTGTACCTGTCTGATAATGTTGTATGTATACATATCACAGCTTAATTTCCTCCTGGACACGTACATGTCATTAATACCAACCTCCTAGAGTACTTCAACTGGACCAAGATAAATTTCTGAACAGGTCTTAAGACCTCCAAGTATAATTAATTTGATTGTAGTCTGATCTTATTACTGCAAAGACATTTAATAAAACAGTATCTGGCCTAAGCAAACATAAGCCATGGAACTCACCTCAAACCTAGCTCACCACTATCTCACACAACTGAACGACTTACGGGAAGCTGGAGTACTGCTGGGAAGCCCTGTTCAGAGAAGTGGTGAGTTCTGAATGTAGAACAAGATGCCACGAGGAAGATAAAGAGAAGTCAGCCCTATGACTATGGTCCTTACTTTATGGTCAACCTTGTTGTTTGCAGCACTCTTTTAATAGCCTGGAAATGGACTTTTTCCTCACTGATTGTCTGTTCTTTTACAAATACTGTTTTTTTCCTCTTTGTTATTCTGTATTTTACTTCTTTCGGTATGTACTAGAAGCACTGCCAAACACAACCTGCACAAAGTAGCAATCTCCAAGCATTTTGGGATGAATCTTAAAACTAAAACTACATTCTTACATTTATTCCTCTAAAACAGAGGTGTGTGGTTAAGCTACATAAACTCACATGATTGAGCGAAAGAACTGTACATTTCTGCTGCATAGGTGAGGAATGATTTGTACTTAAATGTAACTGTTGCTTAACTTCCTTTTCCAGGCTTCCATTTGTTTAAGCTATCTTTGATTAATTTAATTAAAAACAAAAAAGTAAACATTTTGCTTCCTTGGAAGTTTTTGTTATTTTTGCTTAGAAGAAACAAAAAATAGGATAAATAAAAACCCTCTTTCATACTGACCTATATGAAGAAAACCAACAGGTAAGAAATACAGACTTCAGACTTAAGGGAAATAAGCCAGAAAACTCTTCAAAAGATAGTGTTTACATATATATAAATGCACCCTGCTTGTCAAAAGTATTTATACAAAAATTAAGACAATTGTTAATTCTTGAGTGTTACAAACATAAAAATGCCACCTTTTTTCCAAGTCAGTTCAGCCACGACTTTTTTCAGATAATTTATATTACTGAACATCCCCAAATATTTGTAACTTAGTAAACTGATGAATCACAGTGGAGTTTCAGCTCAGACAACTGGCAATGTAGATGCAAGTCTCAAGTTAAACTGAATCAGCAACTGAAAAATAAGCAGATCATTTCAAACTTAAAAAAATGTCCCAGCCACATAGCTTGCATTCATATCCCCATTTTTATTAGGCTAGCTCTTCAAATTTCCACTCACAGTAATGCTGTATACTAAAAAAAAAAACACAACCCCTTACTGTATTATTCATTCTGGAAAGGGGATTAAGTGGTGTAGTTTTGTATATGTGCTTAATGTCCTGGTACATATAACAACTAGTCTCCATTTTCAGCGAAAGTGTGAATAGATTTAAGCTCTCCTTTTTAAGCCAACATTTGTCGTAAGACAGCATTTGCTGTGCAAACTGGATGGCAGCTGATTTTGTTCCAGTCAATGTGAGGTTTCATAATCAGTTCCTGTCATAGGCATCAACCCTTCATTCATTCAATCATAAAAATGTGACTTACTAGAAAAGGAAAAATAGAGTCTAAAGGCACAGAATCACATAGCTGCTCTAGTAGGAGTCTGTAAACAGAGAATCACTTGAATTTAGGAAATCCAAATCTAGGAAAGTAAAAAGGCATCTGAAGCAGGCTCTTATCTAGCCAGCTTCCTTAAAGACCCAAAGGGTTTTGAGGTCTACAAAGTATGCACTAAAATACCATATTTCAAAAAGCAATAAGGCAAATAGTATACTCATTATTTCAAAAAAGTTACAATGGTAGTGTAGGCATACACAGTATAACTTAGTTACAATGCGTGGTACTGTTTCTACTACATAGCCCTATAACTGTTTCCTTTCTACATAATCGGAGATTAAACCGGGGTTCCAGGCGAACACAAAACCATCCTTGTACCACCGTCTACCACTGGCAAGTTCTTCAGCAGCAGCAGCATCTGCTCTGCCGCCTGGGTCACGTTCATGCTGAGGGAAGTCCACAAATCAAAGTTCAGAGATTAAACACTGTCATACTTGTGAAGAGCTTCTTCTAGCTTTTGTGTCACTTTTTGGAAAAAGAGTATTTGCTGTTGCAAGAAATGCTGCATCTGTGATTTAAAGTCCCTCACACGAATTTTGTGGAAATGATTAATTTCTGCTAGGGTCGCAAAAGATATAATGTTACAGCGTTCTTGAATGCCCTCAGCTTTTTGGAGCTCCATCTTTCCCTCTTCCACATGTCGCTTACTCTCCTTTACTTTGGTAAGGGCTCCTGTGTAAAGAACAAAACAAAATAGTTGAACTGTGAGGACAATGTAGACTCAAATACTGTTCTTTAACAAGGGATTTAATAACAAGGATTTGTATAAGGCTCATTCTAAATGTATTTATATGTGTGCATATATATATATATGAATGAAAAAGAATAAAATAAAAGCTTTTTCATATAAAAAAATCACAGAAAAGTGAATCTCGTTTAAAAAAATCAGGCTTTTTTAAGGCTTTAGCTTGCAAAAGTTAGTAAAGCATGCCTATTTCACAACCTTAAAAATCAGACGGTGTCCTCCAGAGAATAACTGATAAAAATACCGGTAGCAGGAACTAGTCAGATCAATTTAAGCCTACATAAACACCAGAAAAATAACCTCATTAAGAAACTGGACTTTGTGAAACATCAGTTTTCTCAATCTTTGTGAAGCGTCAAAAGATCTGAATACACAAAATCTTGCCGATACACCATTCTGCTTTCACACTACAGAGACCCCAAAATTAATTATTGACTACTAGAGAATCTAAAAGTTTATTTCAAAGTTGCAGATATCCACGCATACCTAATGCAGCCTTGTAAGAGCTAGAAGAAAAACAGAGCAAAAGAACTGACAGTCTCCTTCTCCAAATAGCTAATTAAAGCACGTGTCCTACAAAAATGAATTATCACCCAAACCAGACCCACCCAAAGCAGACTCATATAATGACAGAGTACCAAGACATGTCTTAAGACTCCATTTCCCACAGAGCAAATTCTTTGCTTTAAATATTATGTATGTATTTTATTCATATAACTAAAACCGATCAGACCAATACAGCTTTTATCTTCTCACAAGATGTTAATGATAGGACATTTTTCACATCCTTTATGATCAAGCTTAAGTTACTGGTTCCTTCAACTACTTGTAATGTCTTCAGTCTCCTTCCTTTCAGATTACGCTTCTTACCGTACACATGACTACAGTTCAGTGACAGGACTCCCTTTACATGGCCCTGAAGAAATGCTTTTCTGTACTCCCTACAGTGACACTACCCAGCAAGATATCAGAGAAACCTCTCTGTCTATATATTCCAGGGGGACAAGCTCCACTCTATCTGCTGGGGGAGCAGGTTTGTCTTCTCGTCAGCCTGAATCCACACATGTAGTAAACATCACTAAGCGGTAAAAATGCAGTTCATCAGCAGTAACACTATCTTCCGTGCTTTCCTTCCTGTGCCTGTTTAAGAAGCCATTTTGAACGCACCTCCCTCCAGTGCCCTGACACATCTCTGCAATTCAGATCTGGAGCGTGACCTTGTGCACAACAGCGTCTGGGTTTGCTGCAGGCACAGCGTGTTGGGAGGCAACGGGGGAGCATGGCCACTGCTCACTGCATCTCCTCCAGGCCCTTCTCCAGCTGCCCTGCCTGCTGCAGCTCACCCCCTGCCCATCTCCAGCCCTCCCTCACCAGGCAGTCAGGTACAACAGAAGGTTGAGGTACACTCTCACTAGAAGCAAGTTAAAATATCAGATGATTTGGCAGACTTGGGGAAAAGGAGTTTGTTGCATTTTTGAAATTCAATAGGTGTTCTGTCTTGCATTATAAATAAAATCTGGAATTCCTAAAGAGAGGCATGCGTGACTTTTCTCCATTCAACTTCCAACAACTTGTTAACTTGTGGGGGGTGGTTTTAATTGCAAACACTTGGAGAATACTCCCTCTGTTATCAGTACTTCTCTACTCTAAAAATCATATTTTTCTGTTTAATTTGCATTTAGGTTGTGTTGCGCACGGCACCTCCTCTCTACAGCCTTGGTATGAGATCTCACTTGTGAGAATAAGAAAGTCCCCTCCAGCGTGACATACTTGCAGAAAGACCATCTGAAAGATTTTCCTTTTCTTTTTTAAACTGTGGCAGGGAGGTTTTTTACAAGGTAAGCATAGATTGCAGGCTGCACGGCCGAGGACGCTGGTATTCGAGTGGCAGAGGCCAAGTGCAGTAGTTCTCCCGGGGGGGCTGTGAGGTGGTGGCAGGGCTTGGCTCCACACCTTGCCAATGCCCACAGCCCACCAGAGCGGTGGCTAAAAGCTTGGCACAGGCTGCTATGGCTCATTTACCTCATCATCTCCAGCCTGGCCCCAAAAAACACCCCCAAAAAACCTTCTCCACGTGCAGTGGTGCCAGCAGTGGGACCATGACAGAAGATCTCTATTTTCTTCTCTGAGGAATGAGGAATCTGCGAGGTAAGGCACGATCTGAAAAATATTTAATCCCCTCTTCTGCAAAAGGACGCTTCTTTCAACAAACAAAACCAGGCTTAGCAGAAATTTTCTCTGCATTTTGTGGGCATGGCAGGATTCCACGCACGGCTATGAAAAACTGAAATTTGGGACTTACTGGAAGCCAGATGGAGCTGGTTAAATAAACATGACAACTCTTCAGTCGTGACGTGGGAAACAACTTTAGATGTTATTTCTAGAATGACTAAACTGGAAGAAAAAAACTGAAAATACTGAAAAATACTGATATTTACAGCATCACCAGCTGAAAGCATAACTAATTTCTGGAGCATGTACGATCTTCAAATTATTTTACATCAACAAAACTCACACATTACAAAACACTGAAGCCTTCCAGAATAGACATATTACACATTATGCATTTTTCCCATTAAAAAAAAAAAAAAAAAAAGGAAGATTTACAATTAGGGAAAGGAATCCAAGAGGAAAACTTGCAACCATTCACACTTCTCTCTTACTGCATATGGATTCATACTGGTCCTACAGTGGAATTGCTTTAAAACCCAGGCAGACTACAATACATCAGCAATATACAACAAAAGCTAATACATATGCTTACGTACCAACTTGCTTGTTTTTTTGAAGTGCCTTTAAATGAAGTGTTGGATTATTAGTAAAACATTCTCAAAATAACTTAACAGAGGCAAAATTTTAGCTTATTTTAGGACAATCAAAGAGCCTTCCCAGCAGACACAGAAAAAAAAAAGCCCATGTGCTTTATTTTAAGAAGCAAACAATCATTTGTTCTAAAATGTCATTTTTAATTTGTTCAGAACCTACTGAACTTTGCAAGATGCAGTGCGGTAAATCTTAGAAAAAAGCGTTGTTAGTTTCCATGGCTTTGCAAGCAGCTTTACTAACAATAACATACCCCATTTTATCCCAAGTTTTCCCCAGACACTTCTCCATAGCCTACAGCCCTTGTGTTTTAATCTACATGACTGAAACCCTGAGCCAGAGCAGAGATCCATTGATGTTGAGGGTGCAATGATCCACACAGGTTTCTAATGACGAAAGTGGGGAGGAGGACAGGGTGGGGGAACTGGGGACAGAGAGCAG